AGGCATTTAAAGTTCAAATTTTTACAAAATGTACCAAATTTAAAATTATTTAGTAGTTAAAAATGTACAACTTTTATATGTAAGGATTGTCAATTTAAAACAAGGATCCCGGTAAATATCTGGTTATTCTGCGAAAAAAGAATCTAAAAAATACACATGAACACAATTTTATTTATGTAATTTATGTTGAAATTTGAATGAAATTAGTAATTACATATATTAAATAATCAAGAATAATAATTTAAGTTATTTTGTTGTAATTTAAAAATATCATTCGTGCTTACTTGAAAATGTTAGAATATATAAAAGTATATAAAGTATATTTTATTATATTTTATACACAGAATGACTTTTCAAAAGTATTTTTTTTTTTGGCAAAATTTAATTCAACCTATGCTGTAGTATAATTATGATTAATAGTATAAAATAAATCACTTTAATCACAATTCTATCATCAAATATACGTATACTAATGCCGGGTTGCCGGAACAATCACAAAACATTTTTTTAGCCATCATCTTTAACGTTATGCGTCTCCGATGATCATTGTGTATGGATGTATATTTTTAATAAAATTTAAGAGTTGAAAAACAATGAACGAACATTTTGATGTTAGACTAATAGTAATAATAATTATATTGATAATTATAACATTATAATAATTGCTGATATTATATATTATTAATAGTCTCAAATTTATCAAACAATGTACATTATCAAACAATTACCTTCATACAATTAATATAAACACACATTCACGATATTACGCGTTTTACGTTAAAAGTACCAGACGTTGTGACGACAGCTATTTCATATGAAAGAATCATTAAAAAATAAATTGACATCAACAAATGTAAAATATTGGTTGGCCTGCTTACTTTAATTAAATTTAAAAATAAAATAAAATTTTTTATTCAAAATGTTACTTACTGTTATTATTAATATTTGTGCAGAAGCTACACTGGAAGCTCCATAGTTCATTGGTTCATTGTTTAACGTGCAAACCTGTATTACAAAAGCTTGCAGTTTAATACCAATAGTAGGTATATTAAGAGATAATTGTATGTCGAGTTTTATTTATATGAGAAATCTTCAGGTGCAGTCGACTTCAAAAACCATATTACCAAATAATATAGACTTATTTTTATAGTACCTACTTGCTATTACTTGTAGACAATTTAACAACCTCGGTATGTATAAATCTGAAATTAATAAGTACTTGGAATAATATTACATTTAACGCCGTAAAATATTTTAAGTAGGCATTTCTATGTTTTCGTGAGTACAAAATGTGTCTTGTTTTTGATCTACCTGTCTTGTATTCTTATTAATAGTATTTAAAGTATATTTGAATTATACTTATAAAATAGATAATAACGCTGAATAACAGTAAAGTTGTGCTTGTGACCTACTAATAATGTTACAATATGATACCTTAGAGCTTAGATCAAATTCTATGCAAGTTAGTAATTTACGAGAGGATTGTGAGCTAATTTTTCGGAGCTGGTTTACGGCTAGATATTGATACTGTTTTTTTATCGTCGTAAATTTACTTTTAGGTACTTATTAATAAAAATAATATTAGGATTTCATTAAATGTTTTTTAAAAGGCTTTATAAGTGTACTTTTATTACAAATACTTTGTTTTATAATACTTACATTGCACAAATTCATTCTGAATCTCGAAAATCAAAGAGGTGATATCGTAATTCATAGGGTTATAAAAACCCATCATTTTGAACTCTTCTGGTCGCTAAGGACTAACTGCCTAGGGTCAATTGCCTTCCTGGAGCCCTCAGGGAAACACACACACAAAAAAAGGTATCACACCCATTAATTGATTAACACGGAAAATAGTTCGTGTATAATATTATTGAGAGAAGGTAATTTTAAATTTAGAAATTAATATTATTATGTTGTGTTTTAGTTTTATGGAACCGTATATAAACATAAAGAATTACATTTCGTGGTGTTTATCAGTGATTGTTTCTTTCTATTCGATTATATTTATAGCCGAAACCTGTAAATAAATGTATAGCCGTAAACACTAAACATTTTTTTTTCGGTGAGAGCAATATTGTTATCGTCCGCTCGCCGGTGTATTTTTTATAAAGTCAAGACACTCAAGAGTCAAGAAATAACAATAATTCTTAAAATAATGAATAATTATTATCGCGTCGCCCGCTCGCCAGCCCGCATGAAAAATCAGTTCAGCTGGTACACGGCGTTATCTTTATCTTTACATCGAAACCAATAGTTTATGGTACATAAAATTATAAATAATTTGTTTTGAAAGCCAGGGGTACGATTATTAGTTATTAGTTTATTACGATTTAATTTTCATTTACACTCCGATTGTGTTGGTGTCAACTGATAAATTACGTAAGTACAATAATATAGCTGTTCATAATATAGTAATAATTTATTCTCATACGTTATACCTACAAAACGATTTTAACTTTAAAAATTAAACGATATATTTAAGTCTGCATGTTAGTTAAATATATCCAGTTCATCTAAGCGACTAAGCCGACGTGACTATTTAGTTTCAAATAATTACAGAGATTAAAAATGTTTATTTTATTGAAAAAATATAAGTATTTATGTCAAATGTAAATTATAAATTAACCAGTCTTCAGTAGTTTATACGTTACAGTTTATAGTTTATACTAACTATATTGCATTATTGCAATATTGCTACTATATTATAGTAGTTTATAGATTATAGTAGCAATATATACCATAATAATATACTAATAATAATATATTAATAAAATAATAAGATTATAGTAATTAATTTGTGTTTTATTTAAATTTTATTTTGTAAACACTGAATAATACTGATTATTAATAATTGATCGACCAAAATGACCACTATTATTTACAGAACAAAAAGCTCGTCGTGTAAAAATTTGTAAATTATTTTTTTATAAATCTGTTCTTTTATGTTTAATTTATATACATATATTTATTTTATAATTATGGTAATGGTATGTGTATATAATATTTGTTTTATCTATTAGTATGTTGAATATATACAAATTAAAAGCGGTTTTTATTAAGAGGACGCCACACCCGCATGTGTTGTCTCCGTCTTACAAACGCTTAACATACCAAATTTACGTTCAGCAGCTCACAGTTTATGCCGTTAGCTTAAAAATTAGAGTAAATCGACCTATTATGAAACTTGATGATAAGAACTTTATCTGTGTTTTGTTGGAAATTTTTTTACGACAATTCAGTTTTTAAGTGAGGTATGCTTGTATAATAAATGTAAATTAAAAATGCTCATAACTCACTTAAAAACTTAATTATTGTAAAAAAATTTCCAATAAAACACAGAGAAAGTTCTTAACATAAAGTTTCATAATAGGTCGATTCACTCTAATTTTTAAGCTAACGGCATAAAACTTGAACTGCTGGGCGTAAATTTTTGGTATGTTACTCGTTTGTAAGACGGAGACAACACATGCGGGTGTAGCGTCCTCTTAATATATATTTAAAAGGGCCCCTCTTTAGTAGCTGCCTTGAGGCCCTGAGACCCTTAAGTTCGGCCCTGGGTCGCTTATATACTAGGTATATATTTTGTTATTAATTCTAGGGTTTTCAATGGGGTCAAACATAACATAATATGAAGAAATAATATTTTTACATTAAATTAATTTTAAATTAAATTAACATGAAAAGCTAACGTGCGAACGCTGTGACAACTAGACCAAAGGTAGGAGACATTTAAATTTAATTCAACTCCAACAAAAGTATAATATTTTTTATCATAGTATTGGTACAATGTATTCGTTAAGTATACAAACACTACGATAATTAAAAAATGTATCCAAAATAATAAATTATAAATAACATAACAACGCTTAAATAAAATTACTTACCTAGGTATTATACTATCTATATATTATATTCTGTTAATTACTGATTATTATTACAATAAATTATATTATTTTATAGTTTTTTTCTATAAGTATCAATAAAAAATGTCTTACCGTATCAAACTGCTTAAAAATGTGATAAAAGGTTCGTCGTTCGTTATTTTAATAGAAGTATAAAGATATAAGTATTAATATTCAAGTATATATTTTTGGTAGTGTTTAAAAAGTTAAAAATATTTTAAATTAATATTTTCAAATTTTTTTGTAGGTATAATAATTTTTAAAATATTCAATTTTAGATTCTGATAGGTTCGAAAGAATCTATTGTATTTACAAAGATAAGTGTATTTTTCTGTCCGACATCAACATTTTGGGAAGAAAAAATGATCCGATTTTCTGATAGAAAAGTGAATCTAGTTGGTACTCTAAAGATCAAAGTTGAAAAGTCTATGTAATTCTAGAAAGCGTTAAGAAAAACAAATAAATTTCAAATTTTGGTTATTTTTACGTAAAACCAAATTTAAAAAAAAATCTATTTTATTTCTTTAACTCAACAACTAATATCCTTAGAGGCGTAGACCCTTGATATTTTCACTAAATGTTTTTTATACTATTATTTTACATAACTGGTGACATTTTCAAAATATTTTAACTCGTTTTGAGTTAATTATAGCCTTGAGTTTTTTTTCAAAGTTTGTAAATTTTTTTAAAATTATTAGCGAGCGTTTAGACAACCTACCAACTACCACACAAAGCATGCGATCTACATAATACTTATTCTGGCCTTTTATTCATATAAAAGAAAAATAAATTTAAAAAAAATACGAAATGTCTATTACCATCAGATGAAAAGAATGGAAAAAAATAGAACAATATGTTCTATTTTTAGTTCCTATTTATTAAATATTACACACGAGTGTTAAATTTATTTTAATTGTATTTGATAGTAATTCATTGAAAACTTCAAATAACATAAATAATTTTTTCACTTTAGTTTTGCATATTTTTAAAATACAGTTCTTCAATATTATAATCATAATAAATTAGAATACCTTATTCCTAGATAATAGGTGTTTGTAAATGTACCTACTGCAAAATAAATAAAATACCCAACTATTTGTTTTTTCCGAGAGTTTTTATTGTTGAATTTAGAAAAATGTTATTGATACATAAAATAAATTAATATAAAGATTTGCATTGGATACTTGGAATGATATAATAAGTTTTTAAATAGTTGGAATGATATAATTAGTTTTTAAATAGTTGGAATGATATAATTAGTTATAAAATAATTGGAATGATATAATTAGTTATTAAATAATTTTAAAAATTGGTCCCATATGCCGATTGGTTTTATAGAACCAGTCTTATTATTGTGCACACGATTGGCAAGCAATAAAGCAAAAGGATTTGCACCTGCCAACACTGTTTTAGGTGATGGCATAACGCTCGACTCAGGGCCTCTTAACTGCTTGTTGTTGATTTCTAGTGGTCGATGTAACAAATCTGTATCCTTAACTGTGGCATTGCTTACATCGTTATCATTCACATCTGGCTTCAAGTTATCATAACTGCTGAGGTCCATGGCTGCACTATTTTTGCCATCTTCAGCACTCATTTGAATCACATGTCGTCGTAGTCTTCTGCTTAGTAAACAAAAAAATATTAAACTTTACTATTTAGGAAGTAATTAAAGCAAAGTATTCAATGTTATTTTAAAATTATGACAGCCTAACATTTATAAGCAAGCTTGGGCATAAACAAGTTTAAAAGTTAAAGTTAAGTTAATTTTAAACTTAAATGATTTTAATTTGTTTATACTCAATAAATAACGAGTTAGGACGTTAGGTACTTTTAATCAAATCCAAGTTAAGTTGATATATAAATGATTAAACAATAATGTAAATAGAATTATTATTGATGATATAGCTATATTGCATAAATATTTACTTTTTATTATTTCAAACCATATAACTGGCTATTAAAAAAAAAAATAATAATAATAAGCTTAACTTCAGTTAATAAGTTAGTTGTAAGTTTCCATATAACTTTTAACTTAACTGAGTTAAAAATTATCATTAACTTGCCCAGGCTTGCTTAAAAGAATAGTTCATTATTCAACAACTAATAATATCTTTAATATCCCTTCGACATGTGACATCCATACATAACTTTTACAGTTGTAATGCCCATTATTATTCAATAAACGCCTATAGGTACACATTTTTTCTTACTACCTAATTATTAAAATACCATAATATTCAAAATATCCACATAATATAGTATGCGGATAACACCAGGATTGTGGTTTTCGATATCATTACGAATTCCACGTAAACAAAAAAAAGAATATACCACTATTCTTAGTTGTTTCTAAGTATGCGTTTTAATAATGTATGATATTGATTATAGGTAGTATGCCCCAATCCACACTGTCCAGAATGGAAGTTTAATGTTAATAATATTTTATTCAGTTTTTCCTAAACTTTTACAATGAAAAATAAATTTAACAGACGTTAAAGTTATAGCCAATAGAACATTTTTTAATTTAATCAAGTATAAGACATGAAGAGGCCTCGCCACTATACTGACAATTTTAGTTGGGAAAACTTAAAGTTTTGATAACTTTATATGTAAATACTAAAAATGTCCGAAATTCTGGAAAAGTATTTGATTTCTTCAGAACTTTGTAAAAATGTTATCTTATTTAATTTTGGAACTGCAGTCATTGCAGAAAACTTGAAAATTTGGGTCTTATCAAATCATTATTTTAATCAAACTGAAAACTTGTTAAAAAGCCAATCTAGTTTATCATAACACCTATCATAATATATTATCTTCGTTGTCGAGGTCATCGGAGTCCGTATAGCTAATTACAATAATATCATGTACAGGTAGGTACTTTATAAACTACATTACAACAACACTTTAATAATTACAGCTACTAAAATAAATTATTATTTACTTTAATTAAATAATATAATGATACATTTTGAGGAGTTTTTGCTACGAGACTAACCTGCTTGTACCTCCTTCTGTTGTCTCCTCGGTCCTCCAAAATGGGTTTTGTAGATTAGTCAAATTCTGAAGGATGGACCATCTATTCTGGTACCATGTGGATGTTGACTGTATTCGCTTAGTAGCTGTGAGAGAGTAGGGTCTGGTGCTGTTAAATATCATCAACAGAGAGCCCTTGGTGTCCCGAGGACTCATATTCGGGTCGTACAGTAGGTCTGCCAAGCCGTCGCATGAAACGGTCTTGCTAATCGCCATTCTGAGTGTCGTATCGCTATACTTGATCTTTTCATAAAACTAAGGTCCGCGAGGATGAGAGAAAGAGAACAAATATTAATTAACATATTATGTAATCAAGATCAGATTAGAGGAAAGCGCGTATCACAGTTAAATGGGCTTATTTTGTCCTTAGCTCTTTTTTTACACCGAGTGTTTTTGTTGAGATTATTAATAACACGAAAATAAATAATATATTTGAACTAATGAGGTATACGGAATCGAATAATTTGAAAAATAGTATCTGAAGTTGATTTAATAACGAATTTAAATAAGTTTTCAGATGAGCTAGTTGGTAAACCTAGCTTTAGACATAAGATACTTACGGCACATCTGCGATCTTCAGTCTTGTTATTTTCGTCAAATAGCCATACTTTGTTTATATACATACGTCCCTTACTGATGTCTGCTGATGGCGAAGGTGAATTTGAAATACAGTGGAAATTAAAATATATTATACCTAGATATGCACCCATGGGTGATATAACAATTCAAAACAAATACAAATTAATGTGAATATCTGATATTTTTAAAACATATTTATAAATTATAATACAACATATATGTAATATTTAATGAGGAATACAACTGTCAATTATAATCAGACAGTTTATCTTTGGAGGTGGTTTTTTCACCTAGAATGACTAATAATAATTATCCTATATTGAATGTCTTCGAAGTGTGGTAAAAAATAGACATGGTATAAAAATTAATGAAATTAACTGAAGAGCATCCCCATCAATGTCATGGATGTTAAATTAACTTAGTTAGTCATAACCAGACATTTTGTTTAGGATATGCAACTGTAATAAACCTGTGTATCAAAGTAATCCGTGGCCATGAGGAATGTTTCAAAAACATTTTTTTCTATTTATATACATTTAAACTAATTAGGTTTGTTATATCAAACATAATACACTGATTGGCCAAATTAAATATCAATAATAATAACTTAAAAATTACAAAACGTAAAAATGACATGTGAAAAAAGCTTACGGTCTACAAATAACTAATGAGATAAAGCTAATTATGACACTATAGTACATTCAATTATTATAGAGACATTTTCAGTGGTGAACTGACATGTATAATGGTCAGATGGTACACTGACATATTAATACAATACATTTAACGGATAATGTGGAATACCTACTGGAAAATTAGATATTTCCGTGATAATATACCTAAATTGTTCATCAACTAAACGTTACTACCTGTTTTATTATTATTAAGCTGGAAAAGTTTTCATAGAACCATGGGCACAGTGTAGAATCCTGTATTCTACTAAAATAATAGTTTTTTCATACGTACCATTATTGCTGCAATGTGGGCGATCATGGTGTGAATTTCCGAACCACAAGCTATATGTTTGTGGTAGTTTGTCACTAGCATTGTAGTGTATGTAAGCACAACCACCCTTCAACGACGAAACTGAACCCTTTACAGTTACTGTATACTCATCATCCTCTACATACGGGCAACCTTCGGGGGCTGTAATATATAGTAAATAAAAGTAATTAGTAGGTTTGGTTTTATAATGGGTAACATACCTACTTACAGGGATGTCGTGAAAAAAATCAAACATGATAAAAAGGATTTGAATATGAGGGCGTATATCGATTCCGCCGGCTTCTGTTTATCCCTCCCTTGTAATTTGTAAATGTATTTTTAAAATTACAGTCCTGCATAATATACTTTATAATATATATATATAATAATAATAATTGTATAATAATTCAAAACTAAAATGTATAGTCTAATTAATACGTGTATGTGAATATTTTATAAAATGTATAGTTTAAATTGTATAATATAATAAAAATAAAACGAGTCAACAAACTGACACTTACATATATATAAATGGAATTCATATAAATACAATTAGTAAAAATAGTGCTTTTAACAAAAAAAAAAAACAAAATATTAAAAAATTATCAAACGATTTGAACACAATTGAATACAATTTCTAAGATTACTTATTTAAAACATGTGTCCAAATATTACCAAAAGTAGTTACATTTATATTATATTTATTTTAATTAGATTAAACATTTATACAATTATTATTATCATTTTATACAATTCAGACTGTATACATTTTAATATGTTATCATTTATTCACATACTTACACGAATTAATTAAAATATACATTTTGTTTTTGAATTATACAATTATTATTTTCTTATTCTTATTATGTACTATGTATATTTTAAAATACATATACAGGGGTGGGGGATAAACAGTGTCCGGTGGAATCGATGTGTCATATTATAAACAGTAGCCGGCGGAATCAATAATTCCTCGAATATGATTTTGGCCGATAACTGGTTTTGTGTAAAAATTCTCGTTTTATTTATGTTATTTTATTTTCTACAATTATTCAGAAAAGTATTCAACGTTTAAAAATGTTTAACTTTAAAATTACTAAAGATATTGAAATCGAAAATAAAAGCCTTTTTACTGCTCCAAAATATGATGAGACACAAAAAAAACAAAAAGTAACACATCATTGATTAATACATTCATCACCCCGTTCAGAACCTACTTTTTTCAAAATCCAAAAAATATTTCTAAATTGCAAGATTTTTTATTAATATTAAAAGTAATAATATGAATAATAATAGCAATACAATTATAACAAAGAACGAAATGAAAAATCAATGTAGGTACTTACTTTCTGCCATATCCTTCTCGGTTTTTAAGTTAACTGTTTCCCCGGTAATCGCGAAGAAGGCGATGATTGATATCATCAGTGCAACAGCTGTCACCCTCATGGTATTTTTATAAATGCAGCCCAATCGAGAAAACGAAAAAATTGTCCGTCAAACAAATGGTGCGAATACAATTAAATGATCCGTATAAGCGAAAGAAACGCCGGCTACAGGTAGACAGTAGACACGTACACTGGTGAACTGGAACATGAAGGTACACAGAATGCACACTGGTCACTGCTACCCTCCGGTTGTAAACTCATTGGTCGTCTTGTTAGCTCTGGTTGTGGTGGTGGGAGTCGTTTCCACCACCAGCTGCATGTAGAAGTAGCATCACTGGCGCGTTACCTTTCGGCACACTCTTGTCCGCTCGCCCCCTACCCATCACCACAACAATAATAATAATGTGTATCTACACAAACACAAGTGGCATGGCTAAGAAAGCAACAAAAGAAAAATATCAAGATTATATATTATATTAAACTGAATGGTAAATTATTGATCTGATTTAATTTAATTACAATACCTACCTAACTACAACATGTAAAATATTTATATTTTATCTGCTTATTAAATATTATATTTAATTAAAATAATTTAATTTAATTTGACTTGTCAGACATTTCTACACCAACATTTTACTTATACACTGGTTTGAAAATATTTTAAAACATTTTGTTTCTATATCTTTTAATATGAGATGTATAATTCGAGAGCCGCCAACATGCTGTGAAAAGACGAAGTCGCTGTGAAATGGAAAAGTCTGAATACTAATAATGTAGGCATAGATAATATTATAAGATTGGATAGAGCGCCAGAATTTATTACTTGAGTATGATGAACTTGGTTGATTTTCTTGCTAGCGGTCTGATGAATTATATAACAAATATAAATAATGATAAAACCCGCTGTGAGTCATAGTTCCCATACTTCTAGACAAGAAATTAGAGTATTTGAAGCGTGACAACATAAAGAGTGCTTTTTATTTCTCGATTACTAGAACGAAAGGTAATTCGGGTAGCTGGGTAAGATATATAGATATATAGATTGTATTTTTTCGTAAATATGGTCTATATCACTGGAGATAGTAATGATAGTAATGTTATTGTAATTTATGTATTTACATGTATTAAATGTAAATCGTCTTCACACTTGAATAAAAAATTCCATGACAAACGGTTCTCTTTTATTTTATTATTATAATTTCTTTCATCTGATTTAAGAGTTCACACACACATTAATCATTATCTACTATCACTGTGAATTATTAATTTACTAAAAGGTCTAACATAAGTATAAGGTATAACTAGAAAAATCAGCTAGGTAATACTAATTTTTATAAGCATTAGAATCGTTTTAATTTCTATAACACCATTGTCCTAGGCAAGACAAGTTGACTAATCTGATAAAAATAGTTTCCTTTTTTAATAATTATTATAATAATAACTATAAATTAATAAAGAGTACACCACCGTGGAATCACGGACGTTTCGCCCCCGCCGTTTCGACCCGTCAAAAAAACCAGTCCCCGGCAATTATTGAGATAGGACATTTCGTCCCGGAGGGTTATTAGCCATAGAACGTTTGATCCCCGGCATATTTTCATTAGGTATACTGTATAGGACATTCTTCGTTCTCAGGGTTTTAATTACCTAATACAAAGTTCATTATTTTACTAACATTTACTACATTTATTTATTATTATTTTTTTTTTTTTATTATTTTAATTCTTAATTTGTTTCTACTTATAATTATTCTTATTAAATAAAAATACCATGCCGTCGTGGTTTTATGTTAACATTATAACAATATAATATTATATAATTATTTAACTACTTGTTTTTAAGATTATTTGAGTAATAAATTACTTAAATACTTTAAAAAAATATTTTTACAACACTGCTAATACAATACCTATATGTATAAGCTATAGGTAAGTAATAAAGATTGTTCGTGTACTATACAGCCAAACAGGTTTGTGAGCTGAAATTCTAAATTTATTTTAATGCTTCAATATAAAGTATCTAGTACCTATGTCTTATATCGGCTATATCAAAAGTTATTAAGATAAACCTATTCGATAAAATGTTTTATACTTACTATTTCCACAATTGTACACACTCATTGTACACAGTTATATTTTGTTCGTATTGTAGTGTGTAGTGTATAGTACAAATATGGAGTGTTTAATTATCAAAATAAATAAAAATAAATACATTTATAAAGATTTTTTACATTATAATGCAATATTCACAATTGTGATTTATTTAAATCTTGACTATTTGTAATTGTATTGCACAAATATTGATTATGTATTTGTATAGTTTGTAGTATTGTCATTTAAAGATTAAATTGTTCATTAAAAATTAATGCATTTAGATTATCAAAGTATGCCGGGGACCAAACGTCCTATGGCTAATAACTCTCCGGGACGAAACGTCCTATCTCAATAATTGCCTTGGACAAAACGTCCGTGTACTGGTTTTTTTGACGGGGGCGAAACGTTCGTTTACCACCAACGTGTATGGGATACCGGCTAAATTAGTTGTATTTTTTTTCGCACTATTCATTAATAGTTATTTACTCCCATAAGTATACATAGGTATTATATTCTGAGAATAAGCAATTACATTATTATTATAAATTATTATTTTATCTTATTAGTTATTACTCACATATTACATTTTATATCTGTCCGGTACTTTATTAATTCTTTTCATTTATTTCGTATACATTAATATTGTTCTTATATACGCTATTCTTCAAAATGTTTTAATTTTTTTTATTGATCAATTCGCATCAGTGGTTATTAGTGTAAAGTGCGTTTCCGTTTTTTTTCAATAACAATTTTTTTCTTAAATATACTTCTAAATTAGTTTATATGAATCTGATTTTGAAACATTGATCACATTGCTGTTCATTTCTTCTTGAGGTCCTAAGAATTTGAAGAAATGTTATTTTCACTATTTTAGACTATAGTGACCAGAAATTGTGTGAAACGCTTCATAAAAATATAATATTGAAGGTGTTTATTTTTTAACATATAATATTTGTTATATTAAATAAATTTACTTAACATGACATTACAACTAATTAATTCACATGGAAAACATTAGTTCCTTCTGCAAAAAAATAACTAGTTATGTGACCTAACTATAACTTATAACTTGTTAAACTTTAGTTTGTCGTCAGTGTTTACTATAACATTTATTTTAACATGGGACTGGTCATCCCTTGTTTGGAATAAGGAAAATCAAAAAGCCTATTTCGATAACAGTTCTTGTTTTCAACAATAAAATATTATCTCGTACAAGAATACTAACAAACGTTAAACATATGATATATGCTGCTCGTAAGAGTATTTTAACGACTATAAGTTATATGTTTACAGGCAACAGCACTCAGATTTGTAGAAACGGCAGACGGTGAAGTGCCGTAGGGGGGTGTCAATAATACATAACACGTACGCTTCGGTTCGTTGGAATGCAGGCCCTAAAACGACAGGTTTCGGGTGGTCTCCGATTCTTGGAAACAACAATAATTTCAAATGCACATTTGAGCGTGACCGGGTCGAAAAAGTGTACAATGTACCATTGTACCTTATATAGGTCATATACATAGTCTCCGGGGGATTAAGGTTCAGCTGCCATCCCAGGGTACCATTTTTCATTGCTTTCATAAATGCTCGTTTCAAATATAACACAATGTATAATATTATTTACTGGATGAATAAAAGATAAATATGCCATACAAATGTGGGGTACCGATTTTTTTTTTTGACCACTGTCTGCCTCTCCAAAATTCAGTACTAAAATGAAACGTTGAAAGAAGTTATACTGTTGACATATTATGAAGCTTATTTAAATAGACAAATCTACTTATAAAACTAATTACAAATGTTAAATTATGAAAATAATATAGGTAGATATCAACAGGGATGGGCAAGATACTCAAAACTTAGTATCTCGATACTAAATACTCGATTATTACATTTTAAGTATTTAGATCCTTTTAATACTTATATTTTAAGTATTAAGGTACTCGATACCCTATACTCGAAATAAAATTAATCACAGGGTTTTTATAAAATTGTATTTATACACAATTAAGTATACATATATTAATTAGTTAATATGAACCACATATTTAATAGCTTCATTATAACATTCTACAACACAATTAATTATTATTATTTATTCATGCATATTTCAATACTAACAATACTACTAACTATTGAAATTTTAGTGTTTATACTGATTTCTGTGTAGCGTGCAGTGTTAGTGTAAAAAATACTTGTCGTACGTATCTATAATATTTAATAATATTATCGTGTTTATTACATACTTTACCGCAGTCGTCGGTCACGCGGAACGATGTACGATGCACTAATGCACTATGTACTATGTCGTACAGATTACGGATATCTTATATAGCCGTATAGGTACCTACAGTAAAGACGTAGAGTGTCGTTCAAAATGCATGTGGGGTGAGTCACAGTCCACAGATATAACTAAATATAATGGGTTGAAAAATAATTTCCTAAAAGTTGTAGGCTACAGCTTTCGAAAAATCACCTGTAACTACGTATTCGTATTTGTATTCGCAAAATAAAATCAATTATGATAGTAAAAATAAGAATTGTTGGTATTTCGAAATTAATTGGTACTGAAAAATTCTGTAATACTTTATTAAAATATAATATAAAACGAATAAAAAACACATGAAAAATGAATTACTTTATATTTACGGAAAATAATTGTATAGTTATGTATATATAATTAATTTGTAAAAATAATCCACAGGTCGTGGATACGTAGACGAGCGAAGAGTTAAGGAAAATACACTCTCTAATCTCTGTAGTCACACCTCGCTTATCTTCATTGTATACTAGACACTTTGGACTTGGTCAATTGTATTAAACACTTATTATTTATGCATGTGTACAGTAAATAAAAATCTAAATTTTCAAAATCTCCTTAGCATGACTGACAATATAATGTTATATACCAATATTAATATACCATCTGTTTTGTATGCTTATATAATGTACTATACTACTATAGTATAATACGCCTCACTGCAGGCAGATGTTACCGTCGATAGGCGGCACTGGTGCCGCGGAATAAAAAACACTGTCACACATACACGCAAAATGGTATTTGGATGTTTCCTCCCCTCCCCGTGCCATTACCCCTGCGGATTTTAGCGGTACTGGACGTTATTATCCTTGTACCGAGACATTTCTCCCATGAATATATACATATTTTTTTCTGTTTATTATTGATTGATGCAAACAATTTTAAATAAATAATGAAATATCTGATTGATTAATATACTTGGAAAAA